CTTCGATACCGCAAAGAATGCACATACCCCCTTCCAACATACAAGAGTCCCTACATTGGTGGACTGTCCCCTCCAATCTTTTGGAAGGAGCACCCTTCCATTCGCCGTCACCCCAAATCACCATAACGACAGATGCTTCCCTGACGGGATAGGGTGCACACACCATGGGCCTTTCTGTTGGGAACAAATGGGATGCACAGAAGAGGAAGTGACACAAACTTCCTGGAACTGCTGGCAATACAACATGCTGTGTCACCAGCTTCCTACCTATAATCAGGGGAAAATGTGTCACGACCCTCACAGACAACACCACGGTGCTCTCTTATGTCAACAAGCAGGGAGGCACTGTTTCCCTAAGCCTCTGCAACCTTGCTATCCAGTTGTGGGAGCTTTGCATCACCAACAACATTTTCCTCGCAGCCACTCACATTCCCGGACACATGAACGTGCAGGCAGACCATCTAAGTCAAGCAGGACTCAGCCTTCACGAGTGGGGGATGAACCCAACATACCTCCTCCCACTCTTCCACAGGTGGGGAGCTCCCAGAGTCGATGTCTTTGCCACCAACACCAACAAAAGGTGTCCTCTGTTCTGCAACCGGGGAGGCAAGAATCCACAATCTCTGGGAGACGGTCTCCTTTACCCTTGGTCCACGGGACTTCTGTACCTCTTTCCTCCCTTACCTCTGCTTCTGAGAATGGTCCGCAAAATATTCAGAGACGGCGTGGACTGCATCTTAATTATTAAGGAAGTACTTCTTCACCCAAAGAGGGATTAACACTTAGAATTCACTGCCACAGGAAGTGGTGGCGGCTACAAGCATGGATGGCTTCAAAAGGGAATTAGATAAGCATATGGAGCAGAGGTCCATCAGTGGCCATTAGCCACAAGGTATAGATAGGGACTCTGGGGCAAGTGATGCTCTGTCATCTTGGTGCTTGGGGGGGTCAACAGTGGGAGGGCTTCTAATGTCCTGGCCCCACTGGTGGACCTCCTGATGGCACTGGTATTTCTGGCCACTGTGTGATACAGAGTGTTGGACTGGATGGGCCTTTGGCCTGATCCAACATTGGCATCTCTTATGTTCTTAATAACCCCATGGTGGCCGAGGCAACCATGGTTTCCAACAGTCCTCGAGT